GGGTGGGGAATGCAGGATAACCTGGCCCTGGGTCCAGGACATATGTGCAAAGTATGGACTACAGTTCAGGGGGAGCCACTTGTGGGGTGGAAGGTTTTCAGGAAAGGGCCATTACCCGTCCTGGGGTGTCCACAGACAGACAGCTCCTGAACGGCTGCAGACAACCAGTTCCCCAGGCAGGTGAGGGCTATAGGGCACAAGTGTGATTAATGCTGAGCCACTCCCTTCTCCCATGCCTCCTTGCCACCCAGCCTGATTCAGCCCCCTTACCTGAGGTTGATCCCTGTGGCTCCCTTCTTGACCTGCAGCACCTGGAGAGGGGCTGGCTGCCCCTGCTTACTGACCTTCCATAGGGCACAGTGGTAGTCAGAGCGGACAGCCAGCAGGGCTGAGGAAGGGATGGAAAGTGCCAGGGTCAGGGTTAGGCAGCAAGTCAGTGAGCAAGGGAGGGAAGCACCTAAAGGGTCTTACATTCTCCCTGCACAGTGCAAGTCACCACCTGCCGGACAGGTCCTCGGAGCTGGATGTGGCCAGGGTTCCCAAGGATCCGAGGGTTACCACCTGGGGTCAGACGGACCTCTTGGAAATCTGGGCCTCTTGCTAAGGATTAGTACATTAGCTCTGGTCACTGCAAGGCCCCCCAACTTCCTGCCCTTCCCCTGGACCATGCCAAGAGCACCTCCTCCAACAGAGGGAGCTGGCTGGGATCCTGCCCAGCGAGAAAGGATACACAGCCTGTCCAATGCACCTCCTGCAGGGTACACCAGCTGTCTGACCCGGGGCGTCCTTCCAGGCAGCCAGGCCAATGCGCCTCCGGTGAAAGCATCATCTAGGAGCAGCTGCTCCCATCGCATCGCCAGCTCCTCATGTAACAGCTCTCCCAGGAGGTTTGACACTGATTTGCCCAGGATCGGGTCCCCAAGGATGGAGAACCGGCGCTGTCGGTGGCTGAAGTAAGCCCAGGGACACCTGGGGACAAGAGGATGGCAGAAGGATCAGGCTGTAGCAGTGATGAGGAGAAGGACTGGGTACCATCCCCAGAGAGGCCAGGTGCAGTAGACACATTTTTAATTTACCTAGAATTTCTTCCTGTAGGAACCATCCCACCCTATTCCCATGTCCAGGGACAGTCACATAGCCCAGACCAGGACACTCGAGTACTCCATTACCCTGGCCACAGTGATTGGTTCACAGATGGGCATGACATCCAAGCCAACCAGCTACACCCTCCCTGGGACTTCTGATAATGCCTCAGGAAAAGTCACTGGCTCTTTCCTTGGAATCACGAGCCATCTTGCTGCAGTTGGAAACTGCCTAGGAATTAAGCCAGGCAGAGGCAAGTGGATGAGGCGATAAAGAGACAGAGCTCTATTCTAAACATTATTTAAAAACTTGGATGCAGCCATGCCTGTAGCCCGTGGGTTTAAATTCCCCTATCCCCTTAGGCTAGTGGAGCTGGGAGTTTTATATGAGTAACATGACTCATGACTGCACAGGGTGTGGAGCAATTGTGATTGAAACCTGGGTTCATTCATGTCTGGTTCTTTCTACATCCCCACCATCAGCTAGGTCTAGCCCCGCCCATCCTTTCTCACTAGCCACTTGCCCCCAGGGCTGGTGTCCACCGAGGTCCTGGAGTATCCTCTTCACACTGACCACTGTCTTCTTCTTAGAGTAACTCTGCATGGAAAGGCCTTGTCAAGCTTGCACACTCTAGGGCTCACTCACCCTAATGTGAGACGTGAAATGGGAGCCCCTCTCCTGGCTGACCAGGGTAACTTACCCGTGTTCCCTCCAGTTTGAAATTCTCCAGCATCAGTTTCCCCAGGGATGCAAAGGCTATGTCCCCATGGTCCCACAGGAACCGGCTGAACTATGGGGGGAGAGGACACCAGGTCACTAAGCACAGCCCCAGCCACACAGCACTGTCCATTGTGGGGCCACTCACCTGTTCAGTAACATCCAGCACAGCTTGGGGCTGTCTCCGGAACTTAGGACCTCCCCGGAAAAGCAGGTCCTGTGCAGTCAGGCCGGGGTCCCAGGGATCTGAGAGAAAAGTGAGGTTGGGGAAGGGGTCTGTCCCGTGGACTAGGAAGGGCCCAGAAGTGGGGCCACGTATCCCAGGTGACTGGAAGTACCCAAGGACCTTGGGGGTGGAGGGCATTAGCAGGGAGAGGGAAAGCCTCAGGAAGAAGGGAGGGGTGGAGGACAGAAGTGACAGGGGAGCTGCTAGGGAGGTGGCCCCGGAGGACCAAAACCCTTACCGGGACCAGGAGGCAGCAAGGGAAGGGGCCCAGGGGTGTCCGGCTCCCAGAGCAGGCTCTTGGCCAAGTGTGGCGCCCCACTCTGTGGAAACACAACCATGATGATGATATAACAGTGAGCGCACTCCCGGGAGAGGCTATTAACTCATTTAGTCCTCACAAGGAGCCTGTTGGTATGATGATCATCATCACTTTACTGATGAAGAAATGCAGGCACAGGGAGGCTGTCACTTGTCCCAGGTGACAGCCAGTAAAGGGAAGGGCTGGGTTTGAACCCAAAAAGCCTGACTTCAGTCTGTGCCTTTGACCTCCAGGCTGCACTGTCTCTCAAAGGAGTCCCCAGCACTATTACTGGCTGACCTGAATCCTACTTGATTCTCACTCTACTCAGGACATCTCATGGTAACTCACTTGGGGCACCCACAGGCCACTCCACTCCCCACTGTAGCACTGGGAATGGCTCAGCTCAAGCGCACAGGGCATGGGAGAGTTGGCAAGCCAGGCTCCCTGAGGGGCTCAATCTGACTTAAGCCCTTCCTTGTCAAGGAAGCCTCACTGTTTCCCTCCCCAAGCCCCCACCATCTCTTAATTTTCTCACCCACTTGTCTCTGCCTGGAGTAAGCCTTAGCCACCCTGCCTCCAAGTAGCAGCCAGATGGCTTAGGCGTCCAGGGAAAGAGTCCATGTTCTTCCTGTCCCAGAAGGTCTCCCCTCCCCTCCCTGCCTCATTCCCTCTGTGCTGTTCAGCATACTTTTGGTTTTGCTCAAAGCTATTATTACACTTTGCAATAATTTTGCCCTTTGGACTGTTCATTTGTCTATTCTCAATGTAATTCTAAGTTCCACAGGGGCAGGGATAGTATCCTACTTATTCATGTTGGATTCCCAGGGCCTAATGAGGTCTCTGGTACATTGTAGGGGCTATTCAATGAGTATTTGTTGAACAAATAGAGAAAGGAAAGTCTGGGGGAGAGAGGTAGGAAAGAGAGAACCAACAGTTCTCACTCAGTAAACCCTCTATGGATGGTAGGTCGTCCTATGGACCCCAAAGGAGGAGATTCTGACTCAGCCTGTGTCTTAGCAGACACACCGCTCTGCACTCCTGCCAACTGGTGTAAATGCTAGAAGCAAGGGCCAAGTGAAGGTACCCACCCAGGAGGCGCCAGGGCTCTCCCACCATCCTCACCTTGGAGTTCTGGGCCAGGGACTCTGGCAGGGTCAGTGCATCTCTCCAGCTGCACATGAAGGACATGTCAGGGACATCGCTCAGACCAAGGGGGCCGGTCATAAACAACGTGGGGCGGAGGGAGCTGGGGAAGTCCATCCTGGAAGACAAGAACGAAACGTCACACTGGCCTCAGAAGTCTGAATCTGACCAACAGCCTCCAGGGTTCCTGGTGAGTGAAAAGTGCCCTCAGAGGAGTATACTTTCTTTAGCGAAGCAGTTAATAAATAGCAAATGAGTATGTAGCCTACTGTCAGATAAGTGCTACATTAAAACCAACTAACCACCTTGGTGTGGCTCAGTTGGTTGGGCATCATCCTGTCAACCTAAAGGCTGCCGGTTTGATTCCTGGTCAAGGGCACATGCCTGGGTTGTGGGCTCGATCCCCAGTAGGTGGTATGCAGGCAGGAGGCAGCCGATCGATAGATGTTACACTCTCACATCATCGATGTTTCTCTCACTCTCTCCCTTCCTCTCTCCAAAAATCAATAAACTATTAAAAAAATAAAACCCACTAACCAACCATGAGGGAGGGGACGGCGATGGAACAAGGGTGTGGTTTTAGTGACAGTAGCTAGGGAAAGCTTCGTTGAGAAGGTGGCATTTGGCACAGCCTGAACCTAATGAGGGAGAGAACCTCAAATAGGAAGAGAGTTCCTGGCAGAATAAATAGCAAGTACAAAAGTCCTGGGGCAGGAAGTGTTTGAGAAACAATTAAGAGGCCATAGAATGAACAAGGAGAAGAGTGATAGGGGATAAAGTCAGACAGGTGGCAAGGTGTCAGCTTCTATCATCGCTCTTAGGTATTATAATAACATATTTGAAGACTACACGCCCTATACTCCAGGTTACACTCTCAATATTAACTCAAGTTCACCAAAGGCAGAGACTGAGTCTTATTTGTCTGTCAAGAACAGTACCTTCCAGAAAATACTCTGTGTATTGAATAAAAATAAATTTAGTGAAAGGGCTTTGTTAAATACAAAGTGCTCTAGAAGTAGTGGCATCACTCTTCTTTATTAACATCAAAAATAATAGCAGTGCTACCTTAGGGCAAACATCTGCCAGACATGGTACTACATGTTTTATTCTTCTATTTTTCTCTATTTTGGAGTTCAGGAAACTGAGGCTCAGGCAAGAGCCACTTGCCCCAGGCCAACAGTTTGATCCCCCATCCAATTCAAAGTCCAAGTTCTGCACCACTACTCTCCTGTGCATCCAAAATCAAACACTAGCATTAGGGTCTTCGTAAGCACAGATCTTTTCCCTTGGAACTGCCACTGCATTTTTTCAGTTTATTCTGTAAGCTCCATGCATCCATGTACCCTCATGACGATGCAAAATACCCGTCACACAGTAAATGCCAGTAAATACGCGTTGAATGAATACGTTTCTCCAGCACATCAGCCTCATTCTAATTGGGGCTTATATGTTAGTCTAATCTCGTCCACTAGGCTGCAAGCTCCCTGAGGGCCAGGACTGTATCTGATTCATTGCTGAGCTACTGGTGTCTGGCTGTTGCTGTCACTCTCTTTTCCATAACCAGAGAGGGCAGTGGCAGGAATCAGAGAGATGCTCAGTGAGAGCCCTTACAGAAAACACGCTGGCTTCCATAGGACTGGCTGTACCGACTGCAAGTTAAGGAGCAACCAAGCCTCCCAGAGGTGGCTGCATCCCTGATAAACCAGCACACACACAGTCTCTAGCTCGTCTCTTGTTCCTGGGCTCCAATCACTGACCTCCTCTAGGTTCTTCCCTAGTATGTTTCTTTTCACCATGGGGCCTCTGCACACTCTCTCTCTGCTTAAAATTAGTGCCAGTGCCCTTCCTACCCACCTACAAAAATCCTACTCATGCTTCAGATTTCAAGTCAGGGAGCCTCTCCCAGCTCCCCCAACCCTATCCTCCCACAGCACCCTGCCTGCTTCCTCCAGCACACGCGGGCTGTGTGTAACTACATATCTAAAGATGAAGCTGTTTGGCTAAAGGCTGCTCTCATAGTCCCCCATGGGAAAGAGACTTTATCTATTCCCAGTGCCTTGGTATTTGCTACATGGTAACAATCAGTACCAGTAAACTGAAGGCACAAATCCAGGAGTAAAAGAACGGGCAGGGAAAGGAACCTGACAGCCTCAAACGAACCCAAGGAGGCAGTCTGAGAGCGCAGGCGGAGCCTACGACCTCAGGAAAGCCCCTAGACGAGGCAGCCTCAACTTCCCACCTCACCAGTGGCTCTCCAGGTCCCTTCAAACCTCCAAGGCAGCACTGCCGCCACGCGGGGCCCGGCAAAATGTGAGCCTGTCCCAGGGGATGGGTGAGGGGACCCGGACGGGCCCTCCCCTCATACACCTGCTCGGCCCCGTCCTCCCCCTCCTCCTGGCCGCAGAATTTCAACAGCAGGGAACTCTCAACAAGCGCTGTCTGCCAGACGGCTGCTGCCACGCTTTACACTTGCAGGGTCTTCCCCACTCCACCCGCTAGAGGCTAATAACCCACTTTGCAGATGGGTAACTTGTCCCAAGGCCACACAGCTCGGGGCTGGTGGAACCGCGCGGAGGGCGGACCCCACCTCTCTCGGCTCCGGATGGCGACTGCACTCACGTGGTCCAGACCTCGCCCTGCTCGTCTGGGAAATGGGCTTCCCCGTGGCGCTCGCCCGAGCCTCGTAACACGAAGGAGCCCGAAAGCAGCACCCTAGCTCCAGCGACGCTCGCAGGATCCGACCCGCAGCAGCAACTAACGGTCTTCCGGGCCGGGACGGAAGAGCTCCCTTCGAGGCCAGAAGTCCCGCCTCCCCGCCGGGCCTCACGGGCGCCCTACAGCGCCACCTTCCGGGCGGAGGGGGAATGGGCGTGCAGGCGGTGCCCTGGGTAGCAGAAATAGGGAATTAAATCCCAGTAGGGAAAGCCATGTTGAGGGCAGTTCTAATTCCATCTCTGCTTAACTAACTTCCGATTTCGCAGGTTTCTTGTGAGTATTAAATGAATTCATTCAAAAAACACTTACTGAGCACCTACTATGAGCCGGCCATTGTAGGAATCTTAATGGTTGTCTTTATAGCCTGTGAAGCAGGCTTTGCAAGTAGGGGTACAGATAGCCCTGGGAGTCATTTGGAGAGCGTTTTTCATAAATCAGATAATCTCGGTCTGCATCTCCATGGTTGTGGTGAAAATGTATTGGAAGGATATTTAAACTTGTGACTAAAAAAAATGGGGATACATAGTTTTTCAAAATTTTACAGTTATGTAGGGGGAAAAAATTAAGGACGATTTTTATTAGTTTCCTTTTGCTGCTGTAACAAATTACCACAAATTTAGTGGCTTAAACCAGTACAATATTGTACCATTCTGGAGGTCAGAAGCCTGAAATGGGTCTCATTGGGCTAAATTTATGGTGTCAGCAGGACTGTGTTCCTTGCTGGAGGCTCCAGGGTAGAATCAGTTTTTTTGCCTTTTCTTTTCCAGCTTCTGCAAGCTGTCTGCATTCCTTGGTTCATGGCTCCCATCTATCTTCAAAGTCAGCAATGGCCAGTTGAGGCTTTCTCATGATTCCATATTTGATTCTGACTCATCTGTCTTCCTCTCCCCCATTTAAGGACCTTGGTGATTACATTGACCCTACCCAGATAATCCAGGATAATTTCCTTATCTTAAATTTAGCTGATTAAAAACCTTAATTCCATCTGTAACCTTAATTCCCTCCTGCCATATGACATAATATATTTATAGGCTGTGGGGATCAGATCTTGGACATCTTTGAGGGACCATTATTTCACTTACCATTCTTAAGAGACACCCATCCAACTTCTGCACTGGGAAGCCAAGTCCATTTCTTCCTTTCTTCCTTCTTTTCTTTCTCTAAACAAGCTGTTATGTATCCTTTTGTTACTTACATATACTTAACATGCAGTAAAGTCCACAAGTCTTAAGTGTACAGCTCATTGAGTTTTTACATACATTATAAACCCACATAACCACTACCCAGCTCAAGACAGAGAGCATTTCCATTACCACAGAAAATTCCCTGGGGCCACTTCCCAGTCAATAACCCCTTCAAGAAGTAACTTCTTTTATCACCATAGATTAATTTTGCCAGTTCAAGAACTTAATATAAATACAATCATGCAGAAATTACTCCTTTTAGTCTGGCTTTTTTTCATTCAACATTCCTATGAGATGTACCCAAGTTGTGCATATAATGGTAGTTTCTTTTTTTAATTACTGCCATTGTATGAATATATTGCCATTTGTTCATACAATTTCCTGTTGGTGATGTTTCTGGGTTTGGAAACTATTCAAATCTCTTTGGGCAGCCATCAATTCCATTTCTGAACACCTGCGGTGCTGGTGTTCTATCTCCTAGGCCTAATTCTGCTGTCTCAACTACACCCCAAAAACAGAATTGTTCTTCCTGGTGCCATTCCCTGAACTGTTTGGAGGTTGAATCTACTCTGCCCCCCCCCCACCACCACCACCTCTGCTCTCCCCAAGTCATACATTCCTGGTTCCACCAATTGTCTCTCATTTGCCTCAGCATCCACACACCCTGATTAGCACTGTCAGACCCAAAGGCTGACAATCTGCAGCGGCGACAATGCGACAACTCTTACAGACTATGAACTGAGTTACTGGTCCTGTTTTCCCGTTCACTGGCTCCTATAAGACTCAGCTAAATTTTCGGCCTCCTTCAAGCAATTATGTGTTGCATCATAGCAGGCCATATATAAATTGTCTTCATCTCCAATTTCACCTGATTTTTCTTATTTCTCCTTCATCCCTAGCCCTCATCTTCAAGGAGTATTGTCCGTGGCATTTTTATGAGCCAACTCAACACCCCCTTTTGAAAGAGAAAAGGGCAGGGTACCAAATGTTTAATTTGGGCTAGAGAGCACTTCCGGTTGGCTTCAGGAAGGTGTACAGTTTACGGTTTGCAAATGTAGGTGCTAAAGAGGCTGTGGGGCTGCCTCCATTGAGAATGCCTTCATTGATCTGATGAGGTCCTCCAGGCTCAGCTCAGTGGCTCGGGGCGAGCGGCTGCGGTGGCCTTGGTTGCGGGGCATTCTTGCACAGGAGCCAGGCGGGACGCTGGATTCATGTTCTGCAGACCCTTCCCCAGTCTTCACTGCCCCAGGACCACCCCAGGGCGGAGCGTACCCCACCCGCCCGGAGATGCCCTGCCGGAAACGGAATATTGGCTAGGTGATCACTCTGCGCACATCCAGGCTGCGCGTGTCCAGGAGACTGGCCTTCCCGTTGGTTGGGAGCACTGCCTGCCTCAGCTCTGCGGACTCTCATTGGCCAGCAGCCTGCGGGGGGGCGGGACTGGCCTCGAGCACGCCCTAGCTGTACCACGTGCTCCCCACGTGGGAGCTGCCTGGCTGGTATAAAAGGGCACGCGAGCGGCAAAATCGGCCCCGTGTACTCTCTTCGCCAGTCATGGCTTCCCCGGCCGGCACGGCACCAGGCGCAGACGACAGTGGCCGCAGGAAGCTCCGCCTGGCAGCTTCATTGCAGATGAGCCCCAGGCGTCCTTCTGCCAGCCGGGGCCAAGACCTCTGGGAGCCTCCGCCTGGCCCCAGCATGGAGGACAATGAGGGGGGTGGGCAGGCCCTGGCCCTGGCCTCGGCTGCGGGGGACGGTGGGCCCTTGGTGGGGGCCGGAGTTGGAGTACTGGGGACAGCTCAGACACGGGAAGACTTGGGGGGACAGATGGGAAGTTCCCCGAGGGTCTCTGTCCCATCTGCAGGCCCCGCTGGGGACTTAAGGAAGGCGGCCAGACAGCTGGGCCTGCAGCTGAAAGATCTGCCGCCTGGCCAGGCCGTGGCCTTGCTCACTCAGTACGCGGCCAATCTGGGAGTCTCCCTGATCTTCCGAGAGGACCAGACAGCAGGTGAGGCCCGGCCTGGGAGGGCAGCGTGACCCAGGCTAACTCCAGATGAAGCAGGGGGGACCTGAGGGAGACCCCCATCCCCCACCATCCCACACCCGCTGTGAGCAGCATGGTGCTAGGACTACCAGCTATATTGAATATATAACCGGCAGGTCCAGGCAGGGTGAACATTATTTCCTTCTGAAGAGTGTGGAGCTTAAAGAATATACCTCAAGCTACCTAACCTTTAAAGCACGATTTTTTTTGAAGGCCAATTACATGCAATTACAGTCGCCATTCCTGTATTTGGAGATAGCCAAGTTAGGGCCAGCCCCGATTTAAATAAGGGGAACACTGTATAGAAATATAATCATTACTGTCATTTTCTGTTCCTCAGTGCATCGGCCTACTCCTGAATCAAACAGACACACAGAACAATACACCAGGTCCCAAGTTCAGGTTCCCAAGCTTAAGCCAATGCATCCTTAGTTTCTAAGGAGATAGCAAAAGAATCATTCCTCAGATTATTGGGACCTTTTGTAAAACTAAGAGAACCCCCGAATGAATAGCTCAGAAAGAGAAAATGTATTAAAAGTGTATCTGGGATTTGTTTTGATCAGGTATGGTAGGACAGCAGGCAAGGAAATGATTGTCATGAAAGAAGTAAATACAGATCCCTAGAAATGTGAGGCACAGCTCACTACACAGGGTTACGTGGGAAGGGATCAGGATGGGTCAGGAGGCAGAAGAGGGAGGGGAAGGGCAAGGCCCAGAGCCTTTATTGGAGTTTTCTCTGGAAGGAATGGTCGAGGCAATGTAGGTATACTAGGTAAGCTTAGGATTGAGTAAGGAGGCAAGACTTTAAGTTTAGGGGCTCTAGGGGTGGTCCCTAGTTGTCTAGTATCTGGCCCTGGAGTGACTTAGAGTATGAGGAATACTGGCTTGAGTGAGAGTTTGATGGTTGGGGTGTGAGGTCCTGAAGACATTGATGTTTTTGAGGAGTCAGGGCCAGTTTTGCAGAACGTCCTTGTACTGGGGTTTGTCCGTTTTCTCAGGCTTGGGTTCAAGCTCTGCATTGTTGGCAGATGCACGTGGGCCCTACATCCCACTGAGGCCTGTGATTTGTTTGTCCTACCGCTGGCAGTGTTAGCTGGGAGGGCCTGACTGGGGTAGTGTCCAACAGGTATCTTCACTTTCCCCTTTGTGCTTAATCAGTCATGGCGGGGAAAGAGGGGGTAGCATCTGGTAATAGTGTGAATATCTTGTTCCCTATAATATAGTCACTTATTTTTAATGATTGTTGCCAGATTTGGTTACTACTGTGCTGGCTGCTGCATATTGGTTTTCTGATGCCAGCCTTCCTTCTGTAGCCACCAGTTGCATTCTTGATGCGCTTTTAAAGTAGGTGAATCCGAGTGGTAGTGAGCAGTGCTGAGATGGGAGCTGTCTTCTAAAACAGCAGCCCGTGTGGGAACAATTTAGCAAGTACCAGCAACTACTATGAACTGAAATAAGTTTATGCCCTTTGACCAAGTGATCCCAGTTGTAGGATTTTCATGTCACTTTTGTGTCCTAAGTAACACCTGAAATGATAGTGTTTGGTAGTTGAAACTTTAAAACATAGAAGACAGCTAGAGCCCTGTGACTCTGGAAAAGCAGTGGGTGCTATGTACTCAGGGCCACCATCCTGAGAACAGCTCGGCCCTGGATTTGGGTCCTGGCTTTACCTGGCACACTGCCTGCCCTTGGTGTGTCCCTACGTAAAAC